CAAATCGGCATCTAATCATCTATAAGATGAGGTCAGCCCCATTTTTGAGATAAAATACGACCAAGTTATGTTAAACCGTGTAATTTTACCCCGTGTCGTCTACACTTATATATGTACATATGTGCATATAGGAGAAAGCTGGGGCTTATTTCATAAAGCGACAGTGATAATTTTGTAACGACAGGCATTTTCCATGTTGTCAGAGACAATTCGACATTTTGGTGGGTGTTTTGTTTCATAAAAACAATTGTCACCAGTGTTGCCGTTTTAGCCCTTTGGTGGCTAAATTTGGCTACCAAACTTTTTTTTTGGCCACAAAAATTTGAAATTGCCCCTAGCCCTTTTTTTAGCCCTTTTTAAAATTTATTCATCATTGACATTAAAATTTTTTTTTATGATTTTCATGAATTTAACTCTTCGCTCATAAAGCGAACGCCTTTCCTTTAAGGCAAGTAAACATATGTCTATCTATGTTCCTTACGCTTCTGGGCCGTTATCGTATCCGTTAACGATTTAACTATACATTAAATTATGTGTTACACAAAAAGTTTTTTTGTTGAATAAAATATTAATTCTTTTCAGAGTTCATTGTTTTTCTATACCAGTAATTATAGAAAATGTTTGCGTGTATACTTACATATTTTACTAGCAGTGCTTCTCTACACCAAATATTGAAAAACGAATGAAAAGTCCTAGAATTTTTCTATATGAAAATTTATCATTTGTTTTATTTCAAAATTTTTGATTCTTTATTTTAAATCTTAATCCAACACATTTGGATATACAACATTTTTTGTTTTTCCATCTTGGATATGAATAAATAAACAATTTGGAATGCCAACTCTTGAACAGGCCACGTATAGCTACAAATTCCAGTAATCTACCACAAATATTTCAAGAGATATACCAGAAGAAAATTTTTGTTAGTATGGGTGGTGCCACGCCCCCTTTTCCGAATTCGGGGAAACTTAACCCAAACCATCTGCATAAAAGCCCGACTATGCCGTATAAATTTGGTTGAAATCTTGCACTTATTCTTTATATATAAGATGTGAGGTACCACGCCCTCGTTTCCAATACCGCCCATTTTTATCCATGAGTATGGAATTATTTGTTATACCTCTATACCAACTTCCAGTACTCTACGACAAATATTTCAAGAGATATACAACAACAAAATTTTAGTTAGTATGGAAGGTGCCACACCCCCTTTTACGAATTCGGGCAAACTTCACATAAACCATATGCGTGATAGCCTGAATATTTTTATATTTTAGTTAGTATGGGTGGTGCCACGCCCCCTCTTCCGAATTCGGGAAAACTTCGCATAAACCATCTGCATGATAAATCGAATATGCCACATAAATTTGGTTGAATTCGGTGAAGCTGTTCTCAAGTTATGAGGTCACACCAAAAACGTGCACTTATTTTTATATATAAGATGTAGGTAAAAAAATTTAGCTACCATTTTTAGCCACAACAACGATTTTTAGCTCTTTTTTAGCCCTTTTTTAGCTGGAATTTAGCTACCACTAAAAATGTTTCGCGGCAACACTGATTGTCACCCCCTCTTAAATTCCATTGAAAAAGTGACAAATTGTCATTGTCGGGGTTTAAAATTGTCGTTTACAAAATTGTCGCCAGTCATGAAATTTATATGTAAATCATATGTAATAATTGCATTCGCATTATTTTAGTTTTAAGATATATTCAAAATATTTTAGTTTTAAGATATAATTTAATAATTTTACAAAACTCTCCTGTGAAAGCTTTCCGACGGAGCTATTTGGTTTTGTCGCCATCGTCGGGACAATTTTGTCAGCGTGACAATTGTCAGCACCACTGTCGACAATATTCCACATTATCACTGTCGTTTTCCAAAAATTTTCACAGTTGCCTACAAACGTACATATATGAAACAGGAAAAATGTCGCCGACAATTCTGACAGTGAAATTTTATAGGAAAATCGACAATTGTCGCACTTGTCACTTTTATGCAATAGACCCCTGATTTGTAAAAAATAAGAGTATTCACGATCCGGTGCATACTTTCTAGCATTTACTGATAGCAACATAACTGAAAAATGTAGTTTTCATTAATTTTAAAATATGTATATTAATTTATAGGGCTCGGAATCTCATGGACTAAAAAATCTAAAATATGCGCGTATAATAAGCACTCGAAATTCAAAAATATGCGCTATAAACAGAAAAAAAAATGCAATTGAAATTATTTTCCTAATATTTTATTGCCGGTACAAATTAAATAACACATGCACTTTAATAAGAAAATAATGAAAACAATTCCCTTCAAAATGCAATACATATGTATTTACATATCGTCACTAGACACGAATAAAGGCGTGAGCTCAATAGTTGACGGCGAAAAAAGACGCATAAAAAAACTTCAGCGTCAAAGACTCTTAACATACTTCGCCGAAGTTTTTCATGAGCATCGTTTTTCGCAAAATTTTTTTACGCGCCTTTTTTTCGCCGTCAAAAGATTAGCGCGCCTTTATTAGTGTGTAGTGACGACATGTATAAAATTAATTTATAATCAAGCAGTCAGATACCATCTTTTGTAAATAGAAACATTGACAGTTTGAGAAAGTTTGCCATTTCGATTCCACAACTCCTGCAACCACAGCCATTTGGCGGCGTTCGACTGTCTTTTTTGAGCTAGGGTCTTCGCAACTAGGACAGAGCCTTTTGAAGGGCAATCCAATCCTTTCGGCATGTACTTCAACAGTGCCCTGTGCATACTGCAGTAAGTTTGTAGGTATCTTCTTTGCTCATTCCTAGGAGAGCTTTGGTTTTAAGTGGGTCGAAGGACATCCAGAACTGCCGAGTAATCCTGTACGATCCTGTATGGTTCCACATCTGCTTGGACTTCGAGGGATAAATTTCGGTAATTGTTGCTTTTATCTCCTTGAGCGACGCGCCCATGTCCACCGCGTGGGCCACATTCAGTGCGGAGCCGCACCTTGCAAGTCCATCCGCTGCCTCGTTTCCATAAATGCCCCTATGTCCCAGGACCCATATTAGGGTAATTTCGTATTGATCATTGATAGCCTATATCACTTCTCCCCTACATTCTTCCACTAGTTGAGATTTAACAAGGTAGGCAATTTTTTGTCAAGGGGTATTTTTTTGTCAATAGATTTCGCATTAAACCTAAATGGTTGTAAATCAAAAAAAGCAAAAGTATGCAATATATACTAAAATATGCGCATGAAATATGCATAATCAGGTTTTTTTTTT